TATACATATACTTATTCTGGTCTTCACTAAATTGTACAGCTTTTGCCGAGACGTTGGGCTTGCCCACCGGTTGGAACACCAGCATATCACTGAATGAGAACACAACAGACACGACCACTGAGGTAAGAATAATATACTCTATAGCTAGAAAGGCTTGATAATCAATGACTACACAAGAGTTAAGGCCATTGGGGTGAGAGCACAAGGGACTCTCTTAATATAGAACACTTATGACGTGTAGATTCGTTGACTGATGCCGATGTCTACGCTGACATACCGCGACACACACTGTTGTAGATACGTTTTGAACAGAAGTCAGCCGACACACACGAGCACGAAGACCCGAGCACGCATGCCCACACTATCGATACAAAACTCTGTATGACTCACCCAAGTTTCTCTACAGCGCTCTGTATGACCCACCCAAGTTTCTCTACAGCGCTCTGTATGACTCACCCAAGTTTCTCTACAGCGCTCTGTATGACTAACCCAAGTTTCTCTACAGCGCTCTGTATGACTCACCCAAGTTTCTCTACAGCGCTCTGTATGACTAACCCAAGTTTCTCTACAGCGCTCTGTATGATTCACTCAAGTTTCTCTACAGCGCTCTGTATGACTCACCCAAGTTTCTGCACTTCAAACATAGGGCCCCAGCCAGTTGCCCCGGGGTATCCAGAACATCCGTCCGCATCTCAAGAATGTGGATGATGTGCCCTTGCTGATCCAGTTGTTCACAGGTACTGTTTGGGCTGGTCTTGGTCAGCAACGTTAGTATAAAGTACGCATGGGGAAATGTTTACAGGTACTGCCTGCAGTGACTTTATTTAAAACGGTAGTTTAGTGCAGGCGCAGGTTAGAAACGTCCTCGTATACCTATTCAAAAATAGATGTCAATATCACTATCAACATTTATATCAATCATTAGTATTTAGTACGGGCAACTCTGGTTGGTGTTTCCATCAGACGGAGACACGTGCGGACTGTTTCTCCGATTGCGTTTGTGCAGAGGAGAGACAAAGACTATTGTTTCCGGAGCACTCACCCGTGCGTCGCTTTTTACTTTTAATATTCTTCTTATTCCGTGCGAACCCTATATTGCAATTCCCCAGAAAAGTCTATCAGGCTTTCTCCTCTACAATATACTATACTATACAATACCTACCTGTACAATATACTATACTATACAATACCTAACTGTACAATATACTGTACTATACAATACCTACCTGATCTCTTTCTTTTGGGTTGTCACGTACTGCCGATTATGGTAGTCGTGGCAGATGTGGCATTCTCATTTCCATAAGTCTCTCTATGTCTCTCATAAAAACGTGCCCACATTATTTTGTAGACTGCACAGTAGAGGCCACGGGTGAGATGATATCGATAATGCAGGAGCATGGCGAGGTGGTGTGCTGCATAGGATCGTCCCTGCGCTCACAGAATATGTTGCTGTTCTCTCAGGCCGATATTAGTATGTGTTCTGTTAGGTCGATATTGGTAAGTGTTTTGTTCGACCGATATTAGCAAGTGTTTTGTTAGGTCGATATTGGTAAGTGTTCTGTTAGGTCGATATTGGTAAGTGTTTTGTTAGGCCGATATTAGTAAGTGTTTGGTTAGGTCGATATTAGTGTTCTGTTAGGTCGATATCAGTATGTGTTTTGTTAGGTCGAT